TCCCTACTCCCTCTCTGTCTCCTTTTCTCTTACTCTCTCTTATAAAGAAATGACAAGAGTTGTAAGTAATTTTGGCTTCAACCAAAACTGAGCCACCCCCAAAAGAAAGATCCCTCCTGTATCCCTTTTCTGATTTGACCTCATCAGAAATATTGTGAAAAAGAGGAAAGATCAAAGTAAGCTGAGGCGCCCTGGAGGTGCCACACATGTAAACTGGCTCTCCATCCAATGACGTATTGATCATCACCTGACAGACAAGATGACATAGTAAGACCCCATCCTGCAGAGGTCTCAGAAGAGGCTGTTCTTTACGTTGGGATGGTATGTTGTTAATAATCTCAGGTACAAACCTCATGTTAGTTATGCATTATTTTGACATGCACTAATACTCAGCAGATTCTTTACAATTTCTTAAAACGTATATTTATTTATTCCATGAGTGAAAAAAGATACAACACCCCTGACAGAATCTCAATGCCACAATTCACTCTTAGCCTCAGCCAGCCCAAATAATGGTCTCCGGACGTGAACTGGTGACCTTCCCATGTAGGTCCCCCTCACAGAGCATCACATTTTATTTTGGTGCCAATGTCTGTCTCCTCCTCATAATTTTTTAATCCTTTGCTCCCGCTCATTTCAATGCTTTCTCAGTGACTGATAAAATGCAAGATTCCTTCTCATATATCTTAGCAGAGTGGAACTTCTGGTGACTGAGGTTGAAAGATAGACTTCCTATGATACCTGTAAAACGGGGTGCTTTTTGCTCTCAGCAAATATCAGGTGTATCAGAAATTGGCTTAAACCTATATCCTTGCAGTGAGGCATTTTGATCTTCCAAAATGCACTTTCCTCTCCCTGAAATACTGTGAAGCAATCCTATTTACATTTTTCTGCCTGTGTGTTTTAGCATTCAGACAGTCAAGTGGAAGGTAATTATTTTGGTTGAGAACATAGGCTAGGGCGGATAAGACCCAGGGACCAATTTTGCCTTTTAGAACCTAATGAGAAAATTGGGACTGGGAAGAGCA